ATTTACAAAAGATTTCACAATTTTTCACTGATTTCAAGTAACCTCATGAAAATAAGGTTAATATCTGATAATCTTTCATTTGTTACACAATTCTTTGTATCCTGTAATTTTTACCAAACTATTCCTGTATGTATACCTCAGGGCCATTTGCATATGATGTCAATAAGATAGTTGATTTGTATTCTCAAAGTATTTAGTTAGTGGTAAGCTATATATATATGATTTGATATATCCTACCTATTGTTTCAATTATACTAAAGCAAAATAGCCAGCAAATAAACAACTTTTTATAAAACAGGTTAATTATTTTGGAATTAAAAATTATAGTAAAATATTAAGTACATCTATCAAAGTGCACAACAGTTTACTTCAATGGAACATGAGGAAGCTGCCCAAATTTAACAGAAAAACGACATGGATGCATTCCTGGTGTGGTATGAAAGATTTCCCCAAAGTCAGAACTAGGGCAAAGGTGACTGGGCAGTCTGTCTCAGACACCTTCTCACAGGAAAAGGCCTACAAGTGTATGTAAGCATGATGTCAGAAGATGCCATGGACTATGAAAAATTAAAAGCGGCCTTGCTCAAACACTATGAATTTACCAAGGTAGGTTTTCACCAAAAGTCCAGAGAAGTCGAACCTGACACTGGAGAAACTGTATGAAGGCACCCATCTACAACTTGGTGATTGGCAAAAAATCAGGCATTGGATATTTGGAGGAACCAAACAAAAAGAAGACTGATGAGGAATCTTCAGTCACCACAAGAGCTCAAGAAAAAAAAAGCAGGCAAGACATCCAGCGCATGCAAATCTTGAAAGGTGTTATCCCGAATGTAGATCTATGGAAACTGAAGGAAGCACAGAAGAAAGGCCCTTCACTGCATAAACTTTGGGGCAGTTCCTGGGAGAAAGTTGAGCACAAGAGAAAGGGACTTACAGAATAGAGGACCAGAAGGGAGTGCTGTACCAGTTCTATTGGGGAATTAAACAAATCATAGTACCAACAGAATACCAGACTCAAGTGATGAACCAAGGAGCAAAGAAGATGGCAGGCAAAATTACCAGCAACTTTCGTTTGGCAGGGGTTATTGGAGATGTGACCAGGTTCTGCAGTCATGTGACTTCTGCCAAAGGACAATACCTAGACAGAAGGTAGCTAAGGTACCACAGGTGAGATTTCTCTCATAGAAGAGTCATTCAGCAGAGTAGCTGTGGACTTGATGAGACCACTAGCACCTGTATCTGACAAGGGCAACTGGTATGTGTTGACAGTAGTCGACTATGTGACTTGTTACCCAGAAGCCAAAGTACTGCCAAAGATAGAGAAGGAGAGAGTAGCAGAATCCCTTCTGAAAGTGTTCTGCAGAGTAGGCTTTTCAAAAGAAGTCTTGAATCACAGAGTGACCTGGTTTACCTCAGAACTGATGTAAGAGGTATGGAGACTCATCAGCACTAGGCAGCTCTTAACCATCCTGTACAACACCAGATGTAATGGACTTTTTGAGAGAGTCAATGGAGTCTTAAAGAGTATGCTGAAGAAAATGGGCCCAGAGAGACCATGTGACTGGGATAGGTACCTGCAGGCAGTATTATTTGCTTACCAAGAAGTCCCACAAGCAAGTACAGGATCTTCACCATTTGAGTTACTCTATGGAAGAACAGTGAGAGGTCTGATGCAGATATTGAAAGAAATGTGGACAGGAGAAAAAAAAAGAGTTATAAGTGAGGAACACACATCAGTGTGTGCTAGACCCCAGAAACTGACGAGAGGAGACCTGTCAACATGCAAGAGAACGTTTGGAAGCACCTCAAGTCAGTCAGAAGCACTTCTATGACAAGAAGGCTAAGAATTGATGTTTCAAGGTCAGACAAAAGGTCTTAGTACTGCTACCCACAGACAACAAATAACTCACCATGCAGTGTAAAGGACCTTTTTAAGTAAAGGAAGTGGTCAACAGAATGGACTATAAGGTGAAAGTAGATGGAAAGACCAAGATGTACCACACCCATCTGTTGAAGAGGTACTTTGAGATGAAAGAAGACTTAAAGGGTGCAGCTATTGAGGCACAGATGGAGATTGCAGGTGTGTCTGCCATAGACACAGAACCAATAGATGGTGACATTGTCATAGAAGATGAAGACCTACTAGACCAAAGATCACTAGGTGGAGATGAGATTTAATAAAACACCAACATCAGTGAAGAACTGACTGGCAAGCAGAAGAAAGAGCTACAAGATCTACTGTGCCAGTATGCAGATGTCTTCACTTATAGACCAGGCAAAACAAATCTTGTGTAATGCAAGGTGAAGCCCTATCAAATGCCCTATATGATGAGAGACCTGATCAAGCAAGAAGTTGAGGTATTGTTAGAAGCCAGCATCAACAAGACTTTGAATTCAGCCTGCTATTCACTGGTGTTAATTGTGGAAGAAGAGGGATGGCTCAAACCACTTCTGCATAGATTTCTGGAAACTGAACTTCATGACAAAATTCAACTACAAACCTATGGGCAACCCAGAGGCTATCGTGGTAAGACTAGATGGGGCCAAGTTCTTTACAAAGATCAACTTCAGTAAAGGTTGTTGGCAGATCCTGATGGAGACAGCATTTATGACACCAGATGGATGCTACCAGTTCAAAAGGATGCCATTTGGGTCAGCAGAGATATTTAACCGCATGATGCAGAAGATGTTGCATAAAACCACCAATATCGAGCATTATGTGGATGACATTCTGCCCCACACAACCAGATGGGGAGACCATCTGAAGAATCTTAGAGCTGTTCAGGTGAGTAAGGGCAATAGGTCTGACCATGAGACCACCTAAGTGCTACATCAGTTATTCTGGGCTGGACTTTGTTGAAAAAAGGTGAGAAACCCACAGATAGTCATGGAAGAGAAGAAGTACAAGATGCACCAACTTTGACAACCAAGCAGCAAGTCAGATCCTTCCTGGGGTTAGTGGGATATTAAAGGAAGTTCAACCCAAACTACACTGAAGTCACTGTACCACTGACTGATCTTATCAAGTAAGGCCAACTCAACAAGGTGAAGTATCAACAACTACATCAGATGGCATTCCAGAAGTTGAAGAACGTGCTATGAAGTTCACCAATCCTTAGAATGCCAGACTTCAACAAACTGTTCATTTTTAAGGCTGATGTTTCAGATGTTGGAATTGGAGCAGTACTTCTACAAGAACACATAGACAGACTGTTACTGTAATGTACAGTAAAAAGCTGTTGAGTAGCTAAAATAACAACTCTGTGGTTGAGAAAGAGTGTCTGGCCATCATATTTGCTATTATGAAATTCAAGAACTACTTCTACGAGAAGGAGTTCATCATCCAGATGAACCATCAGCCCCTTGCATGCATCCAGAGTGGCAAAATCAACAGTGCAAGGATCATGAGGTGGGTGTCGTACCTCCAGAATTACCAGTTCCACATTGAGATCATCAAGGTGACTGCAAATGTTGGTGCAGACTATATGACTAGACTCTGTGTATGAACTGAAAACAGTCTGAATATAGTATAAAAATACTGTAGATATTTTTCTCGAAGAGTAGCTTATTGTTAGATATACAAGACTGTTTAAGTTTAATGTGAGGGGCTTTATGACTTAGATGGTTTCAGTATAGCATGAGTGTTAAATTTAATTATTTTTAGAAGCAATAGTTTATTAAAAGTTTGTAAACTGTTTTTGAATCATGCACTGTGTAGTTCAATTGTTGTGAATTAGCAATTGTTGTATTATTGCATCATGTTGCTAGTACCTTCTAAATTTGCCTCGTTGTTTTAATTGAGTATTATTGCATCATAATATCTAGTGTGTGGAACATTCTAGGCCTCTGTCGGGCTATAAATGTGCATCCAAAATGTAGTTCGAGTCAGTTAGATAGATAGTTAGCTAGATCTATATTGCATGATTGTGAGTTTTAGCCACAAAGAGTGTATAATGGTGATTTTTAAAGTGAAATTATCACAGATTGTATTCTAATACCAGAGTAGAGAAGAATAATTTGTTTCGTCAATTGTGTTTTAAATAAATCAAACCAGACTGTGTGGACTTTGATGAAAAAGAGACAATTATTTAAAGCTCTGGATACAACTGTGGTAACAGTTTTAGTGGTGATTCTAAAGAGAAATTATCACAGACTGTATTGTAATAACAGAGCAGAAAGTATAATTTGTCTTATCAAATTGTGTTCTAAAGTAACTGAGCCAGTCTGTGTGGTATTTCACAAAAAAAATAGAGAATTATTTAAAGCTCTAGATACAACTGTTATAACCAACAGATAAAACCTAACTAATCGTTTTCAGACACAGCAAAAGAATATAAATTATCAGTTGAACCAATTTAACTGAACCTGCACTGTTTATTTCACATTTCAATTTTACCCACTTGTGCTGCCTTGCTGTGTTTGACTGGTTTAAATACAATTGAATAGAAATAATTTGTATGATTTGTAACCACATTCTTTAAACTTGGTCTATCCTTCTTTCACATGATAGTCTACATATTAATATCAATTGAATTTACACTTTCATTCTTAAGCAACATATATTCAAACATTATATACCTTAAAAAAGCCTCAATGTTGTTATTAAAATTTAATATCTGTTTAGCTCAATTTGAACAAATGTATAAATTTCAAAATATTTCATTTAAACATTTCAACTACCATTCTCAAGTGAATATTTATGGAACAAAACTAAACTTTTATAACTGCATTGCATTTTCCAGATATAATCAGTAACTTGCCAAATAATGGCGGTAAATTCAAATCTTGTATAAAGCTTTCTTAACACAACTGCTACAAGGTGACTTCTTTTTTGAAACGTTTACATTTAGTTTCAAATCTTGTATAAAGCTTTCTTAACACAACTGCTACAAGGTGACTTTTTTTTTGAAACTTTTGCATTTAGTTTCAGTCTCATTTTTAATGCCTTTCTGGCTAACCACATTATTAACACTGATAACTATGCTACAGTGGTTTACCTCCTTTAAATAAGCTTCTTCATTCCAGTTTCCAATTCTTACTGCTGAAGTATAGGAAGTCTTTCCACTGGGTAGAGCCATTGTAAATCCATCACTTGGTTTCATACCAAATGGCACACTACAATAGCTGGCCATGTTATGTTCCTTTTCTTAGTTATGATTTATGTTTTTGGCAATGAAAGAAAACAGAATGAAATATCAATGTAAATTTTATGAATGTTTTAATGACAGCTAAGTATTACTAGTTAATTAGACAAACTTTTCTTCATCTTAATCTTTAAAGATCCTGTCATATGTTTATCATTAACACAAGGCTGGTGCTAGTGCTCCCCCCAGCCCCAAATTTCACTGCCTCCTCCCCAAGCTAATGTTGTTCATTAATTTAATTTTAGACTTTATATTACATTTGGCTCCATTATATGTCTCACCAAATGCATCTCTTGATCTTACGTATTGTGAACAGTCTCATTACAAGTACACAATCACTTATGGTCACTACCGCTCACTTGACTCAATTATCTGTCTGCAATTATCTATCCCGTCACTTTATTTGCCGGCTTATATATACAAAAATAGAGGGTGCGTAGAAAAGAGTTGCCAGGAACAGACATGATCCTTCTAGAATCTCATGACATGTTACTAGAGTCACGTGACTTCCGCTGTCGTAACAATATCTTTAAATGTGTGGTTGGATGGAAGAAAGCAGAGGGTTGTTATAAATAGTGTTCAGTCAAACTGGATTAATGTCACAAGTGGGGTACCTCAGGGCTCAATCTTAGGACCTTTGCTCTTTTTTTTATTTACATCAGTGACAAAGGTGAAGGAATTATCAATAAATTACTTATATTTGCTGACTGATATTAAGGTCTTGGGTACTGCTAACTGTGAAGAAGATGCTGCTGCTTTACAAAAGAAATTAGATTATTTAGTGAGTTGGTCAAATAAATAGCAGATGGGTTTTAATTATAATAAATGCAAGATAATGCATGTGGATTATCATAATGTAAATTATAAGTGTCATGAAACAAAGAGACCCTGGTGTAGTGGTTGATCAGTCTCTTAAGCCATCCAAGCAGTGTGCTGTTGCTAGTGGTAGAGCAAATGTGATTTTATTTTGTATCTACAATAATATTGAATATAAGTCTAAAGAGGCTATAATTTCATTGCATAGGTCAGTGTTTTTTGTTTCTTTTTGAAAAATGAAGAGTTAGAGAGGATCTGATTGAGGTATTTTAGATTGTAAAGTAAATTAACAGTGTTGATAAATCATCTTTTTTCATACTTAATTGCGAGAATAGTAGGACTAGGGGACACAAATATAAATTCTGACAAGGTAGAAGTCATTTTTAGCTAAGACAGTTTTATTTTTCTAACAGGGTGGTTGGCCTCTGGAATGGGTTGCCTTCGGATGTTGTGGAGGCAGTAAATTTAAGTGAGTTTAAGAGAAAGCTTGATAACTATATGAATGATAAGGGTTGGCTTTAAGATTTTTATTTTATTTTCTAAATTTTATGTATTGGATATTTTTAGTTTAGTTTAGAGGGTCAGACTAGATCTTGCTGCAGAAAGTAATACCTAGTGTTTAATTGGCACACATACTCAATCTGAGTCAGTACGTTTCAAAGAACAACTCTAGGAATATTAAAACAATTTTCACATATGAAATAAACACAACAGTACAAAAAAATATGTGGTATTTGCATACCACAAATATACCAACATGTTAAAGCACTGTGACACCAGTACAAGAATGATACCTGGGGTTTAACTAAGAAAAGAAAAGTAACATTAATTATAAAGCTATGAGGAAGGTTAGTAATAACCAAACGGGTACTAATAATTTATTACATATAGCCTAGGTTTGACTTTAACTGAAAACATAATCTATAATTTAAGAATACAGTTTACAATGTAATTACCATCCAAACTGAGCCAGCTTAGTTAAATTCTAATATATTTTTTTTATACTTAAGTATGGTGAAATGTCACCGTTTATAATTATTAGTAAGTATTATATTTATAATATGACGTTTGGATCATAAGACCTTGCAAAGAGACTGAAAGGAAAAACAAAATAGCAATAGTATTAATAAGAATTATACAAAATATTTTGATCATAAATCCTTGACTATGAAAGATAAGTTAAATATAATACCAAACTCTTGACAGTCAGCTTACTGCAAAGTCCGCTATGAAGACAATTCGTTAGGTCGCTAATGTTAACAGTATTAAGTCCACAGAAATTGAACTTAAAAATAAAAGTAAAAAATAATACTGGAAAAAATATTAGAAGTTTGAATAGCAGATGCCAAATTATAAATCTTACTAGGTATGCAATAAGTTATAATAAAATATTAGAACGGAAGCGATAAGGCTTATTACACTGTAGAAAATTAACGCCTGGCCTAGTCTTATATCACTAACAATAGCACGTGCCTGTGATATTTGTTTTTAAAATGTTGCCTAGCAACATAGTTGTTCAAAGCACAAAAACGAAAAACAACATATTTGAAAAATTACAAAAATGACAGAGACATTATTAGCTTCCTTGATGTAGTCTTAAAAGCGAAAACAATTAAGTGAAATATATATATATATATATTATCAATAAAGTGAACGTTGGCAAAAATCGTAATCATATGATATTAATGGTCACACAGGTGTAAACAAAAAAAAATAATGGTTATAAACCTTCGAACAAAATTTTGTTTTAGATAATATCAAAATACACTTTGTTTGTTTGTTATTAAACATAAAGCTACAGAATGAGCTATCTATGCTGTGCCCACCAAATACAAATACAATTAATAACTATAAATAAAATAATTTTATATAAAGTAATGTTTCATTGGGTTTAAACGTCTATGTTTTTTTAAACATTTTTAAATGAAAATGTTATTTGGCTATTTAACAAACGTTTCAATAAACAAAGTACTTTTGCAATGTTCACGTTACACATTATCAATCGAGAAACTCATATTTTTCGATTCAAGAAGGCACGAATATGTTGTATAGAATGTGAATAGATCATAACCAGAGGAAAAGTGGCTAACAACATTTACTATACAATGCAGTAAGTCAACAACAGATTATATTCAGATATTAACACCCTGACTGACATGCAATTATTAACGCACAGTGAATAAAATCTTTTAACATACAACTTATTTCAACTCTTATTTTAAAATTAACTACAAAAATGTAGATCATATAAGTATCCTTTTCAATAGTGGCTTTATGCTACCTTGTATCTTCCCGGTGGCACAGTGATAAGTCTGTAGGCTTGTAACGCTAAAGATTGGGTTTAGATACCCCTGGTGGGCAGAGCACAGATAACCCATTGTGTACCTTTGTGCTTAACAAAAGCAAAAGTTCGACAGAGGTTTAGGATCTATGACAAGTAGAAGTGTGTACTTGATAAAATAAACAATATTTTCTTCGGTGTTCAAGACTGACGAGTGTTTGTTTTCAGTTATGTAAACCTATTGTCAATTTGCTGTGGTGTTGAATGTTTGGTGTGATGTGGTATTAGGAGAGTGAAGGCCTACTGGTACGTGCAGGTACTGATTAAATATTGTACGTTATTGAATGTTTTAGGTTTGATAAAGTGGTTGTTCCAGTTTTGGGGATTCTTTGCATTATTACTAGAGCAACTTATACTGGAGGTTGCACGATCTCTACTACAACTTGAACAGGTGTTGTTGTCACGAGATTGGGGGAGTTCAGCAACAGATGCATTTAAAGCGGGCTGAATAGGTCACTCTTGGGTGACAAAACAATAATGATTTTAGCATTGAATTCTTTGCAGTTTCGATCTTCTGTTGCACAAGGTCTGTCTTGCCTGGTCTGTGAAGATATCTGTGTACTGGCATAGTAGATCTTGTATCTCTTTCTTCTGCTTGCCAGTCAGTTCTTCACTGATGTTGATGTCTTATCTCATATGTCTAATGGGTCTTCATCTTCTATGACAAAACTGCTGTCTTCAGGTTCTGCATATATGACAGCCACACCTCCAATATTCATCTATGTTTCAATAGCTGCAACTTTTGAAGTAACTTTTCAACATATTGGCATGGTAGATCTTGGTCTTCTCATCCACTTTCACCTTATAGCTCATTCTGTTGCCCACTTCCAGCACTTCAAAAGGTCCCTTCCACTACAGGGTGAGTTTGTTGTTGGCTGTGGGTAGCACAGCCAAGACATTTTGTTCAACTTTGAAATGTCAATCCTTGACCTTTTTGTCATAGAAGTGTTTCTGTCTGCCTTAAGTGGCATACAAACGCTCTTTAGCAACTTGGCAGGTCTCCTCAAGTCGGTTTCTGAGGTTTAACATATATTGGTATGTGTTCCTCACTTCTGACCTTTCTTCTCCTATACACAGTTCTTTCAATATCTGCATCAAACCTTGTACTGTTCTTTCATACAATAACTCGAAGGGTGAAAATCCTATACTTGCTTGTGGGAATTCTTGGTAAAAAAATAATGCTGCATGTAGGTACTAGTCCTTGTCACGTGGTCTCTCCTGCTACATTTTCTTCCGCATGCTCTTTAAGAGCACAAGAAGTCGTTACATCTGGGGTTCTAGAAGGTGGTAAAAAGCTGCCCAGTGCTGATGAGGCTGCACACCACTTGCATCACTTCTGAGGTAAACTGGGTCATTCTGTAACTCAATACTTCTTTTGGAAAGCCTGCTGTACAGAACACTTCCAGGAGATATTCTGTTACTCTCTCCATCTCAATCTTTAGCAATACTTTGGCTTCTGGATAACATATCACATAGTCAACTACTGTCAGTACAAACCAGTTACCCTTGTCAGATACAGGTGCTAGTGGTCTCATCAAGTCCACAACTATTCTGCTGAATTGCTCTTCTATGAGAAGCATCTCATCCAGGGGCACCTTAGCTACCTTACCTCTAGATATTGTCCTTTGGCAGGTGTCACATGACTGCAGAACCTTGTCACATCTTTGATGAACCCTGACAAATGGAAGTTGCTAGGGATTCTTTCTGCTGTCTTCTTTGCTCCTAGGTGTCCTCTCACAATCGACTCATGAGTCAAATTTATCACATGAGTCCGATGCCCTGTTGGAACTATGATATTTTTAACTTTCCCCATAGAACTGCCTTGAGAGATCTGGTACAGTTATCCTTTCTGGTCCTTTATTCTGTAACTCCTTTTCTCCTTGGTCTTGCGTTTCACTTTCTCCCTGCAACTGTCCCAAAGTTTCTGCAATGAAGGGTCTTTCTTCTGTGCTTCTTTCAGTTCCTGTAAACCTAAATTCGGGATGAAACCTTTCGAGACTTACAGGAACTTGATGTCTTGCTTACATATCTTGAGCTCTTGTGGTGACTGCAAATACCTCATCAATCTTCTTTCTGAATGGTTTCTCCAAACTTCTACTTTCTAGTATATTGCCGATCATCAAGTCTTCATACACATGGCCTCAAGGTCTCTCATGTAGTATGGAGTAAACTTTCCCAATGTCTTATCAATCAGTGCACACAGATGTACTTTGCCCTTCATCTGGTCATCAGATACTTGACTGGTTCTCACTGCTGCACTGCTACATCCAATGTTTCATAGGACCTTCACTTTCTTGTCCCCGACATAGCTTTCCCCTACTGGCATGTTGCGGTTTGTTGGCAGCTCTCATTGTTTTTCACATGCTCCAATCACCACTGGCACTATTGACTCATTTGCTAATTAGAGCTGACTGTTAATCATGCACTGTTTAATAATGGTGATAGCACTTCCTTATAGTAGTGAAGCTGATGAGTTGCCTCTATTCTGTTTCTTCTGACAGCAGCATCCATGGTGACAGTCACTCTTTTCTTGTTTCTTGACAGTACCATCTTTGTAAGTAGCTCCAGCTGTTTTATGTTGAGATTTCTGGTATTGTTTTTGACTTTAACTGGTTATTTTTATACTTCCTCCATGGACTTCCATATACTGTTATGCCAACTTGATAATCTCATCCACATCTTTTGGTGCTCTCTCCTTTACAAACGGTGACATATCAGTAGAGCACATGATCATGAACTGTTCACGTATTAGTATATCTTCACACTTGGCTATGTCAGTTTACCTTGTGAAGTGTCATCATAGACATGCCATAAACTAAAATACACATTCTCCCAGTGTTAGATTTGACTTCTTTGAACTTCTAACAAAACCCTTCCTCAATAAGTTCATAGCATTTCAGCAAGGCCACTTTTAATTTGTCATAGTCCATGGCATCTTCTGACGTCATGTCCACATACACATGTAGGTCTTTTTTGTGAGAAGGGAGCTAATTCAGACTGCCCAGTCGCCTTTGTCCTAGTTATGACTTTGGGCAAATATTTTATATCTCTCCAGCAAAGCATCCATATTATCTTTCTGTTAATCAAATTTGGGCAGCTTGGGTCATGTGGTTCTGATCTCATTGTCATTCTTGGGTTCTTCATCTTTCTGTCTGGTGAGGTTTGCAATCTCAATTTATGTTCTTATTCTCTCTATTTCCAGTCTTTCCTTTCTCTCATTTTCTTCTTTCTCAATTTGTATTCTTATTCTCTCTTCCTTTCTTCTATGTTGACGCTCTTTTCTCTCTGGTATTTTTGTTGTTTAACAAACTCTCCTTTTTCCGCTAGCATTCACGTCTTCTTCTACTGCCCTTTACCACTGTATAATCTTGGCTGGCTCACCGATGTTAGGTTTTTATATATGGATGGACAGGAGTCTTTATGGTAGGTGTCTGTGACTTGTTGGCTATAAATTTCAACAATAAAAAAACAGCATGCAATCCATTTGTTTTAAAATAGTATATTAAGACAAAGTCAAATGTATATACAAATGTTTGTTACACAGTTAATCACCACAGTTGTATCCAAAGCTTTAGATAATCGCAGGTTGGTTCGGTTATGTTAGAACATTATGAACAAGACGACTTATTCTCCTATGCTCTGTTATTACAACACAATCTGCGATAATTTCACTTATATTACACTGTTGGTTAACACAATTGCATCCATAGCTTTAAATGATTGTCTATTTTCGTCTAATGTTTACACACGTTTGTTCAATTACTTTAGTATACAATTGACACCCTTTTATTCCTGTCAACATTATGATCAACAGTTTTCCTAACTAACTGATAGTAAAGTAGTAGTCTAAAATGCAGTCCATGTATTTTCTCAGCAAGACAGTACCACCCAGTAGATTGGAAAGCTAGGGAGGCAAAGCCCTTTCAGTTATTGGTTTCTCGAATAGACGACTGTCCTAATTGCTGATAATTATATGGAAAACCCACAATGTAGAGCATACATTGTATGATGAAACTTGATAGCTTGGAAAGCAAGAATTGCCACTTCCTTTCAATCAGTAATTTACAAGAAATGACTGCCCCAACTGCTGGTAATCAAGTGGCAGTCACAAAATACA